CAAAGTGACTTTGTGCGACGATTTGTGTTTCGTTGCGCAAAATTTAGTCGCGTAAGACTTTGAGCGACGAAGTTTAATTTTTGTCGCGCAAAATTTGGTTGCGCAAGGGGTTTTTTTTACTAGTGATTATTCTTAATAATTATTATAAAAGTAACAACTATTATGTGGCAAGATAACTACATAATTTAACTTATAAACCTAAATAGATAGCAAAATATTTAATTTCCCAAAATATTAATATATATACAATTTTAAAATACAGGGCTTCACAATCATAATGCTTAATTATTGTGAAAACAATTAATGCTTGTTTGTTATTACCAAAAATATATAATAATAAAAATGCCTGCGTAGAGTTGGAAATACAGTGGCTTCATAAGACTAAGATTAGGGGAATTTCTTGCATTTTGAACGTGCTGTTGTCTTTTGATCCCATAACCGACATTTAAAAAAAAAAGAACATCAACGGATAGTATATGTGCTTTAGGGCAGCATTTCCATTCAAACTCAGGTTTTGCAAGGACAAGTTGTACACAATGATAACTAGGACCTCACGGAGGAAAATTTATTAAACATGAAATAAAGAGGTACACCAAGCCATGGCGGATAGAAGGAGCCTAAGCCTAAGCCTAATCCCACTTGAGTCAGAACTCATGGGTTTATCAACTAAGTTTCAAAAGCAAAGGCTAATGCTGACTCAAGCAACTCTAAGATTTTGGGTTGGAATGTTGACTTATGAAGAGCCTCCTCTGAAGCTAATCTTTCTTGCAGAATTTTAGAGCCCACGTACCTGCCCAAAGTAAAAAATTGAAAGTGATGAAAAGAGCAGAATGGCGTAGAATTAATATTACAAACAAGACATTCAGCCAAATATATTATCGAGAAGTTCTAGTGGTTGCAAGTAAGTGTGTATATAACATACCTCCCTAACATCAGATAGAAGCCCTGAGGATGGCTTGCTGGTGTGGAAGGGAATGTGGAGCCATCAACGACGCGTAATGCGTTGATCCCTGTAACACGGAAATCATCATCAAGCACCTCCCCGACAAGGCATCCACCGTGGTAATGCCAATA